AAAATCAAAATGTGTGTACATGGAACGTTTAAAAAAGCAAATGTGTCACTGTCTCAGCCATGCATTTCAGATTTTTTCTTTTTTAGCATTTTGGGTTTTCTGTTTAAAGAGAGCTCAACCTGTACTTTCTCAGTGAGGGCCTTTTCACCCAGCCATATAACCCAGAATATCAAGGCGGGTAATCCACAATATATGCTTTGAACTGGATTATCTGAGTCCACGCTGCCATATAATCCAGTTCAATGGGGATTTTATACAGCTGCGTGGAAGGAGCCTGGGTGTCTTCCAATAGTCTAGACAACTTGGAAACTTCTGTGTAAATTTAATTCAGTATAATTTATAATTAATCAACTTAAATTTCATAATCATGATACATGTTATACCCTTCCCCTTCATGTTCCTAGGCTGCTGCAAACTGAGGCCCCTACCACACAATTGCATAAAATCCACATTAAACTGCATTATACTGCATGGCAGTGTGGACTCAGATAAGCAAGTTCAAAGTAGATATTGTGGAGTATCTGACTTGATATTCTGGGTTATATGGCTGGGTAGAAAGGCCCTGAATTAAAAACCATGTGGTGTTGTCTTTGTTGATGTCATAATAAATCATCTGCCCATAAAAGCATATGCCATAATATATCTGTTACAGTCTTCATATGTTATCAGACACCTTGGATTGTTTTTCACACAACAGAATTAATATACCTATCCCCTCTGAAAAAATATTTTTGCTGTCGGTGAAAACCAATTGACGTGAATCCTGAAATCCAAATCTTACCTGAGGTTGTTATAAAATGTGTTGCTAAGACATTAATCCCAAATTTTGAAAAAGGGAAAGTAATAAAAAAAATCTTCTGATGCTGTAACTGCTTCCTCCGGACTATTAACATCTGAGACAAAATGTAGAGCTGTGACACTTGTATCATCATTTCTCTTGCTCTGCATGATCTTTAACATCTTTATTTGACAAGGATCCACTGGAGTTTAGTCTTCACATGCAAGAATATGCCCACACTATATTGTTGCAACAGTTAGATACTACTTTAACTGTTATTCCATTTTAAGTAATCCTAAAATTTACTCTTTGGAGGGGTACTTAGAATACTCTGCAGTGGTCGATCGGTTATGTTATTACTTAATTTTTGTTTACCTGTTATAATTTTTATTTTAATCTGGGGGGCGTTGTTGTTTAATTCTCTTTGTTCATGTATTCTAGCATTGAATGTTTGCCATTTTTTTTTTATTGGAAACCACCCTGAGCCCCTTTGGGGAGATATAAATAAAATTGTGGTTGTTGTTGTTGTTGTTCATTCGTTCAGTCGTCTCCGACTCTTCGTGACCTCATGGACCAGCCCACGCCAGAGCTCCCTGTCGGCCGTTACCACCCCCAGCTCCCTCAAGGTCAGTCCAGTCACTTCAAGGATGCCATCCATCCATCTTGCCCTTGGTCGGCCCCTCTTCCTTTTGCCTTCCACTTTCCCCAGCATACTTGTCTTCTCTAGGCTTTCCTGTCTCCTCATGATGTGGCCAAAGTACTTCAACTTTGTCTCTAGTATCTTTCCCTCCAGTGAGCAGTCGGGCTTTATTTCCTGGAGGATGGACTGGTTGGATCTTCTCGCAGTCCAAGGACTCTCAGAACTTTCCTCCAACACCACAGCTCAAAAGCATCGATCTTCCTTCGCTCAGCCTTCCCTAAGGTCCAGCTCTCACATCCGTAGGTTACTACAGGGAATACCATGGCTTTGACTAGGCGGATCTTTGTTGCCATTCTGATGTCTCTACTCTTTACTATTTTATCGAGATTGGACATTGCTCTCCTCCCAAGAAGTAAGCGTCTTCTGATTTCCTGGCTACAGTCTGCATCTGCAGTAATCTTTTCACCTAGAAATACAAAGTCTGTCACGGCCTCCACGGTTTCTCCCTCTATTTTCCAGTTGTCAATCATTCTTGTTGCCATAATCTTGGTTTTTTTTGTTGTTGTTATTCTGATAGAAATCTCTAGTTTGCTACAGTATTTTATGTACTGTTCAAATGGAAGCACTCAGTGCAACAGAGAATTTCTGAGTGCCTCTCTAAAGAACCAGCAGATGAGAGCTTTCCAAACTCTGTGTTGCAAGACATGTGTGTGTTGACTGCAGTGTGTAGGCATGTCCCATGAACATAATGAGAAATCTGAGTCTATGTGAAATGAGTATTTATGTGTGTGTGTGTGTGAGAGAGAGAGAGAGAGAGAGAAAGAGAGAAAGCTTTCATGAAATATGTTGTGTATATTTCATTTTTACAATTTATCTATGTGTCTTTGGACCTTTTCACATTGATGAGGTCCAGGGTTCACCAGCCTCTGTGCCAAATCAGTGGGTAGCAGTCATTCCCAGCACCCCATGCCCCGCCTCTCAACCAGCTGATGCTTCCCTATCACACTTGGAAGCGGTAGCCTTATTGTTCCAATTGAGCCATGAAGCCCCTCTGAAAGTGAGGCTATGATGTGTGATGGGTGGCATGGGCCCCATGGGTCAACTGGGGCAGAAGTGTTCTAGGACACTCAATTTCCATCGTGTGATGAAATCCCAAATCTCTTATAAGGGGTTAGTTTAACTTCCAGTTTGCTATTAAAACTGAATTGCTGTGTTGTGAAATGGCACGTGTCTTTAAATTGTGTCATCAACATGAAATGTTTGGAAAGTAGATAACACTTTAAAATGAAGTCAGGACCATTAGAGTGGGATGAAACTGCTGTAATAGCATAATGTACATAAACTTTCTTTAGCTGGAGAAGAGAGATAAAAACGGCACTTGGACATTATTTCACTGAGAGAACTAACATCAAATAGTGTGATCCAAGAGAGATATAAGTTTACCAATATTACTAATGGATTTTGAACAGTTCAAGCATTTAAATAAAGTGCTATATAATTATTATGTATTGCTATTATTTCTATTTTCACTGCTGTCTGGTGAATAGGCATACTAGAAGGATCATTACACTTTAATGTGTATCTAGCAAAAATGTGATTATAATATTCTGTAAAAATAACCCTCGAAAACACAGTTTTATTATCCTCCCTCTCTCTCCCAGCCCAATGTAATGTTTCGACTATCCCCCAAGTGCTTCGTCTTTGAGGATAGTATAAACCACACATTTGACCCTTGCATAATCAGGTGTTTGGGTTGCAAACAATGGAAGGAATGATCAGTTAAATATTTATCATAGGTTTATTTTTACTTTCATTAATCTCTTACTTTTTGGCAAATGTGACAACATGACATCATTATAAATAACATTTTTAGCCCCAGGTCCCCCCACTCCTCCAATAAAAGATAGTTCATAATTAGGGAATTCACAGTTTTGCCAAGGACACCAGGCTGGAATGATATAATAAGAGTTCAGTTTTGGCCAATCTGCAGAAGACTAACAACCACAAGGACCTTTCCCATGTTAGATAGTGGGTACATTTAGTCTAGATTTCATGAAACCTAAGCAAACACCTTAAAACATGAGTTAACAACTGTGCTAGTTGTCCCCCATACTAGTCAATGAACTACAAACAAAAGGGAATGCTAAGTAAATAATATTTTATAACCATGCCCTTTATTTCTGAAATCCCATCTTTCCTGCCTATTCTTGCTTTCTGTATAATCTTTGACTCACCTTTGATGATACTGGACTTTTCATATCTCAAGCCCTGTTTTGTTTCCTTTTTGCCTTTTTCATCCTCTTCCACTCCCACTCCCATAACTACCAGCCCATAATATCCTATCTCTCCCCAAAATCCTGGTCCCAACTGTGCTGTTTTATCTTAGGCTGGGCCCTCACAGACCCACTGATCCTCTGTGTATGTTTCCCCACAATCCCAGGGATCCATCCTTTTTTTTTACTGTGGCCGTGTCTCCTTGCACACTATTGGCTGAGCAGCCGAAGTGGGGCTTGGGCTCCCATTGGACGAGCTGCACCAGTCCCCGGCCACTCCTCCCAGCTTGCTGATGTCACAGCCAATCACAGCGAAGCCAGCTCAGGGGAGCAGGAAATTTGAATGGAAAAAAACCCTGTATATATTGTCTAGTTCAGGGGTTCTCAAACTTTTTAAACAGTGGGCCAGGTCACAATACCTCAAACTGTTGGAGGGCCGGATTATAATTTGAAAAAAAAAAAAGAATGAATTCCTATGCACACTGCACATATCTTATTTGTAGTGCAAAAAACACTTAAAAACAATACAATAATTAAAATGAAGAACAATTTTAACAAATATAAATATATTAGTATTTCAATGGGAAGTGTGAGCCTATTTTTGGTTGATGGGATAGGATTGTTGTTGTTTCACTTAGGTTGACCCTGAGGAAGGGCCAGGTAAATGACCTTGGAGGGCCGTATCTGGCCCCCGGGCCTTAGTTTGAGGACCCTGGTCTAGTTTTCTGTATCAGAACCATGGTGATTTCTTCAGCAGATGACTGCAGCCGTCATCCTTTTCCTGCTGGAACAAAAATAAATACCTCGGTGGCTTCTGCTTCCACTTGATAAGATTTATTCTGGAATATTGGTTTCTTTTTTCTCACCAGGCTAAACCCACAGCGGCTTGGATGTCACTATCCACAGCCATTCTAAATTGCTGGACAACAATATCCCATTGTATACAAATACAGCTGTTCCAAAATCTGGGTGGGAAAAAAAACCACAAGCATTTCAGATACTCAACCTGTACCGCCCTCTAGTGGACTAAGCATGGAAGGTTAAAAATGAAAGGCTGGAGTGGAAGCATGGGCCCTCCAGGTGTTTTGGCTGTTAGGGATTGTGGGAGTTGAAGTCCAAAACACCTGGAGGGCCAAAGGCAGCTATAATTGGACAGCGTGGCTTTCCTCTCCGCCAATCCCCTGCCGCAGCCACTTGATGGGCAGGCCGTTCGCGCATGCGCTCCTCCTCCTTTTCCATTCCTCAGTCTTTGTTTTGCTTTTCCCTGTCAGTGGATGCACTTCCGCCCTCCTTTAGAGAGAAAAGTATTATGAGCCTTTCGGCTCGTCGTAGTCAGGTGACCTCAGTGGGCACTGTTGGCGGCATAGAGCTGGAGAGACTTTTCAAAGCCTGAGGCGGTTGTAGGGCGCGGCCATGGCTCTGGACCCCTGGTGAGTGAGGGAGGGAGGGAGCTGGCGGCGGAGCCTGACCCTTCCGCCCTAAGCAGGGAGAAGCCAAGCCGGCTTAGGCCTCCGTTTGTGCCGGGCACCAGCAGCCCTCCTCCAGTCACGTCAAGGGCGGGCTTCCTTGCTGAGCTCGGCCCACTTGGGAAACTGCTTTGCCTGCCCTCCTGCACCTGACACTCTTCGCACCCATGCAAGGCCGCGGGGCGGGCTGGAGAGAGAAACTGAGGGCGCATTTACACCAGGCATGAGCAACCTTGGCCCCTCCAGGGGTTTAGGACTTCAACTCCCACAATTCCTAACAGCCTCAGGCCCCTTAAGCGCCTGAAGGGGAAAAGGAAAGGGACAGAGGCTGTTAGGAATTGTGGGAGTTGAAGTCCAAAACACCTGGAGGACACAAGTTTGCCCATGCCTGATTTACACTGTAGAACCAGTGCAGTTCGACACCACTTGGGTCAATGCCATGGGTCAATGCCGTGGGATGCTGGGCGTTGTAGCCTTCTCTGCCAAAGAGGACTATCAGCAATCTCGTATCTCAATCTCACTCCCACGGACTCTTAACATTAATCTGTGGCAGTTAAAGTGGTGTCGAACTTCATTGATCTTGCAGTTTAGATGCAGCCAGGGTCATTTTTCAAGTAGGTGAAAAAGTGGAATAGCATAGGTCTCTTTCAGGCTTTTCATCATCATCATCATCTTTAATTACTTATTAATCGCCCTCCATCCGAGATGCTCCATGCGATTTACATAGCAGAAATTATACAGGATAAAACACATACACACAAATATTAAAATCAACATGGGTCAAATGCTCGAGTAAAAAGCCAGGTCTTAAGTGCTAGGATAAAATGCCCTGAGTCACGCATGGCTCTCAAATAGGGAGGCAAGGAATTCTATAAGGCAGGGGCAGAAATAGAGAAGGCCCTGCGTCTGGTGCTTTCCAAGTGCACTTCCCTAGGACCCAGCATATAGAGCAAATCGCGTTGGGATGGTCGTGGCGACCTCCAATGATGGTAGAAGGAGAGATGGTCTCTAAGATACAATGGACCCTGGCCATATAAAGTTTTAAAGGCCAGGACCAGCATCTTATGCAAACCACAATACTCAATTTTCCTGCCAGATATGAATAGTTATAATACAAGGTAACGGTTTTACCCTGACATTAAGTCCAGGCATGTCCGACTCTGGGGTTGGTGCTCATCTCCATTTCTAAACTGAAGAGCCGGCGTTGTCCATAGACACCTCCAAGGTCATGTGGCCAGCATGACTGCATGGAGTGCCGTTACCTTCCCACCTATTGATCTACTCAGATTTGCACGTTTTCGAACTGCTAGGTTGGCAGAAGCTAGAGCTGACAGCGGAAGCTTACACCGCTCCCTGGAAACAAACCTGTGACCTTTTGGTCAACAAGCTCAGCGCTTTAACCCACTACATCACCGGGGGCTCCATAGTTATAATAAGATGTTATTTCTCTCCCCATCTCCCCAAGGGGACTCAGAGCGGTATAATAATAGTAGTAGTAGTAGTAGTAGTAATAATAATAATAATAATAATAATAATAATAAACATTAATTATACCCCGCCACCATCTCCCCAAAGGGGACTCGGGGCAGCTAACATGAAGCCAAGCCCAAAGTTACAATACAACAAAATAAAATACAGAATGCAGACAACAAAAAATACATCAAAATAAAATACATACAGGAGCAAAATAAATAAAACAAATTAACACAATATAAAATCGAACCGAATGGGCAGGCCAAATAGATGGGGTAAAATGATAAAACCCTGGATGAGGTAGGAAAGAGAATATGTAATTGAGGGGAACCCCAAAAGAATAAACAGTGGGGTAGGCTTTCAGTTTAGTATGGGGGAAAGTGCATCATAGGGGCAACACTATAGATGGAGCAAGCATAAATTGGATAAATTTGCTGCTATACAACATAAAGCAGCAAATATTCAATGCCATAAAGTGCAGGAAAACAATAAACAATCTCACAAAGGTGATAACATCTTAAACATCAAATATCAATAATAAAGCAGGGCAATAAATTAATCAAACATAACTAAAATATTTATTTATTTTCCATATTTATATCCTGCCCTTCTCAAACCCAAAGGGGAATCAAGGTGGCTTTACACGTAGACAGCTATCAATGCCTTGAAAACAACATACTATTAAAATAAACCTTTAATGTAAAATTAAAATTAATACACATTAAACAGTTAAAAACATATCCATTATTAAAACTACGCCATCCATCAATGTAATCCAGGGCCATTCAAATAATCATTGCACATATTCTGTTGCTCTTCTCCAAAGGCTTGATCCTAAAGCCAGTTAGACTCAGTAATTAAAACAATAATTTAAAAATAGTTGGAAGGTGTATTACATTTAAACAGTGGTCTCTCCCACAAATTTTCTATACTTGAGCTGTGATGAGCCATTGGGTATATGTGTGTGTGTGTAGATTAGATCTTTCCACTTTGGGTGGGGATAAAATCAAGTTGGATGATTTGATGCCAACAAAGGCTCTCACTTGTGTGTCTTTAAGTCATTTCTGACCTATGGCAGCCCTAAGGAGAACCCATCACATAGGGTTTTTTTGGCAAGATTGGTTCAGGTTTGCTGTTGCCTTCCTCAGAGGTTGAGAGAGTGTGACTTGTCTACAGTGGAGATAATTTTAGCACATGCACCTTTTTCCTGCATGGAAAGTTTTTCCACTGAAAATTCTTTGATAAGGTTAGTAACCTTGCTGTACTCTGCAACAAGTTAAGCTGGCTGTCTGGGACCAGTTTTGTCTCTCTTCACCATCACCACCAATTATCATCATAATTTCTTACTCACCTGTCCTAGTGATCAAGGCAAGTGACAACAGATTAAAATACAATAATAATAGATTAAAAACATGCTATCACCTATGAAGAGGATAATAACAGTTGCCAAAGTGTATATACATATTAAAGTAATAAATTTTAAACTCATATTGTACAATCCCCATATTGATTTGAGATATGTTCCAAGACATACAGGCATACCTGTGGATACCTGAAATTGTGGATAATAGGGAACCCTATCATTCGACTATATTTCAGCCAAAAGCATACCACAGAATCATACTGGAAGATCTAGAGCAGGGGCCCTCAAACTAAGGCCTGGGGCCCGGATACGGCCCTCCAAGGTCATTTACCCGGCCTTCGCTCAGGCTCAATCTAAGTCTGAAATGACTTGAAAACACTCAGCAACAACAACAATCCTATCTCATCAGCCAAAGCAGGCCCACACTTCCCATTGAAATACTAATAAGTTTATATTTGTTAAAATTGTTCTTCATTTTAATTATTGTATTGTTTTTAAGTGGGGTTTTTTTTTGCATTACAAATAAGATATGTGCATGTTCATAGGAATTCATTCATGATTTTTTCAAATTATAATCCGGCCCTCCAACAGTTTGAGGGACTGTGACCTGGCCCTCTGTTTAAAAAGTTTGAGGACCCCTGATCTAGAGAGCTCCGCAAACATTTTTACTGGATCTCTTAGTCCTATCAACATTGACCATTTAATGCCATTCAAAGCTAGCTTCAAACTGCGGTGGCCAGACAAACTTCCATAAAAGTGCATGGAAGAAATCCCTTAATGAGCATCAGTGCTCTCTGGTTTGTGTAATCACTAACCAGGCTGCAAACCAGTTCTAGGATTTCCTGTACACAGCAAAACCACTTTCTTACACTGGTTTCAAACTGTGTTATATGGTCAGTGGTTGGAAACGGCATTAAATGGTCAGTGTAGATCAGGCCTCTGACATTCCCATTTAACTCTGGGCAAAGGAATAATCTTAATTACTTAATATACTTCTACACCCTGTGGAGGCCTTTACATATAATTGATGTAATAACTTAATTGCAAGTTTTATATGGTGGGCATATAAAGGGATTTTGCTGAGGATATGTATCACCTACTATTCAGTGTAACTTACAGTTTTAAGAGTAATGTACAGAAATAAGCATAGAGCAGACTAAAATTCACAATAACCAATAAGAACAAAATACTACTTGTTGCTGTTATGTAACCCCAAGTGGATTACAGTGTATGGTGATGCTAGAATGAAACATCTCCAAGACACCTTGTTATTAATAGCTTTCCTCAGACCTGTGGTTTGCTTCATACCAATACATCTGTAATCTTGGTTTCTTTTTCTACAGCCTTTCAACTTTATCAAATTTTGTTATATTTTCTAATGTGCTTTCTCCTCTCATGTGCAGAGCACATCCTTTGTGCTTTCTTTAAGTGTTTCCAGTCTATAATGGGGTTCTGTTGGCAAGATTTTTTCAGAAGAGGCTTACCATTGCTTACCTCTGGAATTGAGGCTGGATCTACAATGCCAAATAATTCCATTTAAAGCAGATAATTTGGGCAGTGCAGAATGGGCTGAGAGAGTGTGACTTCCTCAACATCATTCAGAGGATTCCCATGCTCGCTCAGAGATTTGAACTCTGGCCTCCAAAGTTCTACCTAGCCCTGTACCCAAACTACTATACCACACTGACTCTATGCAAAGTATGATAATCTCAGTTATGTCATTTTAGAGCAGGGGTCCACGAACTTTTTAAACAGAGGGCCAGGTCAAGTCCCTCAAACTGTTGGTGTGCCGGATTATAATTTGAAAAAACATGAATGAATTCCTATGCACGCTGCACATGTCTTATTTGTAGTGCAAAAATCCCCACTTAAAAACAATAAAATAATTAAAATGGAGAACAATATAAACAAATATAAAAGTATTAGTATTTCAATGGGAAATGTGGGCCTGCTTTTGGCTGATGAGATAGGATTGTTGTTGTTGTTGTGTGCTTTCAAGTCATTTCAGACTTAGCTTGACCCTGAGCGAGGGCCAGATAAATGACACTGGAGGGCTGTATCTGGCCCTCGGGCCTTAGTCTGAGGACCCCTGTTTTAGAGTCTAGTGAAAATTCAGGTTTAGTTTCCTTTCAGTCCCATTCTTTTGGGTCAATCTATTGGATCCGTAGAACTTCCCTCCAGCAGTGCATTTCAGATGAATCAGCTTCACAATCATACATAAGGTCTCAGCTGCTGCAAAAAATTCTATGTGTTCCTCTTAGTATTGCTGTGCCTGATAAATATCAAATCTCCATGGCGGAGAACTTGAACATTCTTGTCAGTAACCTTAGAAGCAAGAGTTGGGCTTTTATTTTTTTGAAAGTACAGATTTATTTTTCCAGGGGGGAAAAATCTGAATAGCTTGATTTTAATAACTGCGTAATAAAACCACTTCATAGTAAGTGTGGAATGAAATTGTTCATTTCATTATTTAAGAATTAAATAATGAATTAAAATTAAATCAAGAATTAAAAGTGTACCTATTTATATTTTTTATAGCCATGTGTATTTGGCAGATTGAGTATTTATATTGGAAAAGCAGATTGGGAATATTTTTAATATTATATAACTTGTATTCTGTTGGTAAATTATACAGGGTTAGTCAAAATGAATAGGCCAATAAGAAAATTAATTTTAGACGATCTGCAGGACCTACTGGATAATACACCAAAAAGAGACATTATTTTCATTACAGGAGACTGGAATGCCAAGGTGGGAAGTCAAATTACAACTGGGATCACAGGCAAGCATGGTCTGGGAGAACAAAATGAAGGGACGCAGGCTGATAGAATTTTGCCAGGAAAACTCGCTGTGTATAACGAATACTCTCTTCCAACAACCTAAAAGACGGCTTTACACATGGACCTCACCAGACGGTCAACACCGAAATCAGATTGACTACATCCTTTGCAGCCAAAGGTGGCGGACATCCATCCAGTCAGTGAAAACAAGACCTGGGGCTGACTGTAGCTCAGATCACGAACTTCTTATTGCCCAATTTAGAATAAAACTAAAGAGATCAGGGAAAATACACAGACCAGTTAGATATGATCTCACTAACATTCCTAGCAAATATACAGTGGAAGTGAAGAACAGATTTGAAGGACTAGATTTAGTAAACAGAGTCCCAGAAGAACTATGGACAGAAGTCCGAGACATTGTTCAGGAGGCGGCAACAAAGTACGTCCAAAAGAAAAAGAAAACCAAGAAGGCAAAATGGTTGTCTGCTGAGACACTGGAAGTAGCCCAAGAAAGGAGGAAAGCAAAAGGAAACAGTGATAAGGGGAGATATGCCCAGTTAAATGCGCAATTCCAGAGGTTAGCCAGAAGAGATAAGGAAATATTTTTAAATAAGCAATGCATGGAAGTGGAAGAAGACAACAGAATAGGAAGGACAAGAGACCTCTTCCAGAAAATTAGAAACATTGGAGGTAAATTTCAGGCAAAAATTGGTATGATAAGAAACAAAGATGGCAGGGACCTAACAGAAGCTGAAGAGATCAAGAGAAGGTGGCGAGACTATACAGAAGATCTGTATAGGAAGGATAATAATATTGAGGATAGTTTTGACGGTGTGGTGAATGAATTAGAACCAGACAGCCTGAGGAGTGAGGTTGAATGGGCCTTAAGAAGCATTGCTAACAACAAGGCAGCAGGAGACGACGGGATCCCAGCTGAACTGTTTAAAATCTTAAAAGATGATGCTGTCAAGGTGATGCATGCCATTTGCCAGAAAATATGGAAAACACAAGAATGGCCATCAGACTGGAAAAAATCAACTTATATCCCCATACCAAAAAAGGGAAATGCGAAAGACTGCTCAAACTTCCGTACAGTGGCCCTTATTTCTCATGCCAGTAAGGTAATGCTCAAGATCCTGCAAAGAAGACTCCAGCAATACATGGAGCGAGAGTTGCCAGATGTTCAGGCTGGGTTTAGAAAAGGTAGAGGAACGAGAGACCAAATTGCCAATATCCGCTGGATAATGGAGAAAAGCAGGGAGTTTCAGAAAAACATCTACTTCTGCTTCATTGACTATTCTAAAGCCTTTGACTGTGTGGATCATAATAAATTGTGGCAAGTTCTTAGTGGGATGGGCATCCCAAGCCACCTTGTCTCTCTCCTGAGGAATCTGTACAAGGACCAATTAGCAACAGTCAGAACTGACCATGGAACAACAGACTGGTTCAAGATTGGGAAAGGCGTACGGCAAGGCTGCATCCTCTCACCCAACCTTTTTAACTTGTATGCAGAACACATCATGCGATGTGCGGGGCTGGATGAATGCAAAGCTGGGGTGGAAATGGCTGGAAGAAACATTAACAACCTCAGATATGCAGATGACACCACTCTGATGGCCGAAAGCGAGGAGGAGCTGAGGAGCCTTCTAATCAAGGTGAAAGAAGAAAGCGCAAAAGCCGGGTTGCAGCTAAACGTCAAAAAAACCAAGATTATGGCAACAAGAATGATGGACAACTGGAAAATAGAGGGAGAAAACGTGGAGGCCATGACAGACTTTGTATTTCTAGGTGCAAAGATTACTGCAGATGCAGACTGCAGCCAGGAAATCAGAAGACGCTTACTTCTTGGGAGGAGAGCAATGTCCAATCTCGATAAAATAGTAAAGAGTAGAGACATCAGACTGGCAACAAAGATCCGCCTAGTCAAAAGCCATGGTATTCCCTGTAGTCACCTACGGATGTGAGAGCTGGACTTAAGGGAAGGCTGAGCGAAGGAAGATCGATGCTTTTGAGCTGTGGTGCTGGAGGAAAGTGCTGAGAGTGCCTTGGACTGCGAGAAGATCCAACCAGTCCATCCTCCAGGAAATAAAGCCCGACTGCTCATTGGAGGGAAAGATACTAGAGACAAAGTTGAAGTACTTTGGCCACATCATGAGGAGACAGGAAAGCCTAGAGAAGACAATTATGCTGGGGAAAGTGGAAGGTAAAAGGAAGAGGGGCCGACCAAGGGCAAGATGGATGGATGGCATCCTTGAAGTGACTGGACTGACCTTGAAGGAGCTGGGGTGGTGACGGCCGACAGGGAGCTCTGGCGTGGGCTGGTCCATGAGGTCACGAAGAGTCGGAGACGACTGAACGAATGAACAACAACAACAACATGTTTATTGTAACCAAACTACAGCTACGTAGCGACAGATAAACTATCAAAGTTTTGTCTCACCTTCAGAGATGTTCAATATGGGCGCCCCGTGTGACACGGCAGATGTCCAAGCGATAGTCCAGTTCATTCCACATCCGTTGCAGCACATCCGACGTAATGGCATCGAATGCAGCAACGTCTGGGAAGGTGTTCGTTGAGGTCCTAACCCTAACCCTAACCCTAACCCTAACCCTAACCCTAACCCTTGACATTCTCGCTGGACCGTAATTACTGACATTGTTTTAGCAAATGTCATCACACAAAACGCCTTCTCTTTGCTTGATTCCGCCATTTTGAAAACAGCGACCCCTAGCGACGCCTAGCGGCATTAACGTACATGTGTGTTGCTCAAAAAAAACTTTGATAGTTTATCTGTCGCTACGTAGCTGTGGTTTGGTTACAGTAAACATACATTCGTCTAAAATTAATTTTCTTATTGGCCTATTCATTTTGACTAACCCTGTATATGTTTGGACATATAAAGGTGTGTAACATATGTATTACACTTGCATGTTCAACAATAAATATAAAACTAAGTAACAGATTTATAAATTGTGCTTATTGTACTTTAAATATTCCTGGTCTACATGATTTAATTATTTAGTGGCAAATAAGTGTCATGCTAACAGATTTTGTTTGTCAAAATGAAAGACTGTGAAGTAAATCTGTACCAATGAGTTTAAAAAGAGAGGCCATAACTATCTAGATTTGTGCTACATGGATATTTGGGGAGTTGGTTTTACAGGCAAATTTGTCTATTTAATTTTTATCCTACCTTTTGAAAAAAAATGGCAATTAAGGTGTATACCAACAGTAAATTCAAATAAAAATGAATACAATTAAAGATAACACACATATAAACAGAAACAATTGCCTTCAACTGTACCCAGTCTAAGATGCAGAAAGCCTAAATGAATACAATTGTCTTTGCCGCTAATGTAATGCAGCCAACTGAGAGCCAGTCTAGCCTTCTTCATCAACAGGAGGATAGAAGCAATTCACATTTTGTAACTTGCTAAACTTAGTTAACCACCTTAAGTATCCTTTGCGAGAGAAGAAGATGGATATAAATAATGACAACAACAACTTTGGGGTTATTAATGAGAATTTTAATCTTTCCAGCTATGATTTGTATATGGAAAAGTAGTCTTGTATGTATGTGTGTTCTCTTTGTCTTTGAACAAATCATCTTTAGGGAGTTGGTGGACAATATTAAAAGGTGAGATTTCTTAAATTCACTCAATGAACAATAAAGACAAAAACATATGCAATAATTATATCAATATCTTTTTTAAGGCTTTCGATGTATGATTCTACTTGCCATACCGCCCAAGAAGTTGCTGAAAAAATTCAAGAACGCAACAGATTCCAGAGGAATGGTGAGAGTACAGCTAAGGTATGGCACATCCCAGAAGCAAGTCTCCTGTTTTAATTTACATCTGTGTTTCTCAAACTCTGCTCTTCCAGGTGTTTTGGACTTCAACTTCCAGAAATCCCAGTCCGCTTACCAGCTGTTAGGAATTGTGGGAGCTGAAGTCCAAAACACTTGGAAGAACAGAGTCTGAGAAACACTGCTTTACATTATAAACTTAAATTCCACCAAGATCCAAATCACTTGACAGGTATTCTTCATGGCTTCCTTAGAACTGTGGAGGATCTCTTCTCAACTTGGTGCCTGTTAGCCCTGCTAGCCTGGGATGATGGCAGATACAGTCCAATACATTTTGTACATTTCAGGCTGGGAAGAGTGCCTTAGTTGCTCACTAAGTATTCAAGAGCATAAGTGCTTGAAGAGATTGAGCTTTAAGAGATTGATTAATGGGTGGGTTTTTTTTCTGTTTGTCCTAGATTTTTTTCTTCAGTGTTTTGCTCTTGTCTGCTATTGCTACCTGCTTTGAGTTTTGTTGATGAAATTGAATAAATATGGAAGGAATGGTTTCTACCAAAATATAAGGGTGCAATATGGATTTTCTTAATATCCGTTTGTATTTCAACCACAAACTGTTTGACAATGACAGAATTCTAAATGTAGGACTATCATGTCCATTGTAGAGCTTTGGCATAACCCCATTTAAAAAAAAAAAAAAAAAAGCATCAGGGAGAAATTGTTTTGCACACATTGTTACTCTTCAATCAAGTTAGCTTTTGGTTGTCCTCTGGCAGAGGCTCAAATTAGCAAGAGCACCATAAGAACAAATAGAGTAACATGTGTCAGAGCTTCTTATTTTTATGTTATTAACCCTGAAACAGGGAAACTGAGTTTTGTGTCTGTCAATTTTTATTTTGTTCTAAAATAGTTGCTTCTCTTGCAATCTGTTTTCAAGTGATAGCTTCCCAGAATACATTGATTCTGAGGCATTCTTTCCTATTTTGTTAGCTGCAGCCTTTTCAATGTTTTAAAAGTTTGATGTTGTAAATAGGGTGGATATTAACTGTCTTATGTCAGGACCCACTATTGCTTCTTGGTGCTTTTCCTCTAGTTTAAGAATTGTGGCTGACATTACAAAACACAATTAACAAACAGTTGTATGAAGGAAACTTTCCAGGTTTCTTTGCTTTTAGTGTTGGAGGCACTTGTTCAGATAGCAATTAAGAGGATAGTATTTTACTGCAGTGTAAGCAGACTTCTAGCAATGGTAATGTTTATTGCCATAACAACTGGTGTTATGGACTGGTATTGAAAAACATTCAATATTTCAATTACGTTTCCTGTCAAATAGGAACAATATCAACAGTTTCTTGTTTAATGGGATGTTGGGATTGTTGTGCAGTTGCACATTGTAAAAACCTTCATTGAGAAAATGAGTGATCCAGGTTTTGCAGAGGTGAAGAAATAGAGATAAAGACACGGTTAAGGAAAAAAGATATTTCCCCTCTCAAAAGTTTGGGCAATTCAATCTTTTCTCCACTTCTTTTTCTTCTCTTTGCTATTTTTTATATTGGTGTGAAAACACAAATATGGAGAGAAATAAATATTTCAAGAATATTTTATTTTTGTTATGAAGTAAAACTATACAAGAGCATTGTTAGATATTTGTGGAGCTATTCTAGATAAAATAGGTCATGTTCTACAGAAACATCTACCAGTATATTATGCTCTCGGGTTTCTTAGCCTCTTTCATATATTTGGTATTTTAAAGAATGTGTAATGGGAAGTAAATCTTATTAAATTCAAAGAGTCTTAAATTCCAAATTTCATGTGGAGTATTTATTAATTTGTCATGCACTCTTATTAGGCTTTAAAATCCAGTAGGTACATAATTCAGGTCTAATGTTTATATCATTATGCTACAAGACATTGGGTGGCCATGGGAGGTGCTCATTTACCACAACTGTAGCCTGGGAAAGGTCTTGTGAGTGGATAGCACTGCTTCATTATCTTAGATTATAGTGACATAAGGTTCTAGGGTTTACTGAATGCTAACTGGCTTAACTGTCAGTTTATGCCACCTTTGCACACACTGCTGCTCTTTGACTCTCAACAGATCGCAGCGAGGGACCTACTATGCTATATGTGAAACTCTGGCCCAGAAGGAAATATTTCTTGAATTATTTAGTTCCAGATTTCCCATAATGCACAGAATCCTGCAGATGAGAAGCAACCCCTTCTTTTTATGCCCCCCTCTTTGTTGGTTCTCCTTGATGGGCTATGCACCCTGACTAAGATCATCTTCAACCTCTTGTATTCCCAGTGGTGGGGATATAGGGGAGGTAGCACTCTTGGATAAGAATGGAGATACTTTTCACATGAGCCTAAGTGGCAAAATGTATCTTAGCTAAGTTGTCTTTCCAAATGCATGGGGTTCACATGGCTTCTTTTTAAACTTAGGCCTTTTTTTTTTTTTTTGCAAAATCATGAAAGGCCACAGTCATATTTCAGTTGGAAATGAGCAGGCTTGTAACAACATAGGAGCATGAGTCAGTTTATTTGTGTAGCTCCAAAACTGGTAATCTTGTAGATATAATGAATTACATAAAGTTCTTTATTCTGTCAGGATGACTACAGTTTTACTGATTGGCTATTATCATCTAATATCATCTGCTAGGCTGTTTGTTTAATTTATTTATTTCTTCCTTGTCCCTACAGCTCAATGTTGCTATTAGGTCACTCTTGCAAAATCTCAAAGAAAAGACAGATCAATTGAAAGACCAACTGTTTCGTTCTGTATCAACACGTCAGATGTATCCATGAAAATAGTGGTGTCAATCAGGAATGCCAGTGAGTTGTGAGTGGGTACTTAATTGTGTGTTGCAAAGCAATTGTGCATTGTAATATGTCAATTCCATTGTTTCTTGCAGCATTTTTGGCAGAACCCACACATACCAATCTTTTTTCTTTTCTTTTCTTTACTTTGGGTGTGTGTTCTGTGCTTGGAAGGGCTCTGCTATGGACTCAACTGGGAGTCTGTTTCACACAAATAACCATCTTTTGGGGTATTTTCTTTGGAACTGTGTACTTGTGATTATATTATAAGAAATCACATATGTGACTCTGAAGAGACATTATCACCTTTTCCATCACTGTTTGTTTTTAAAATACATTAGTCTTAAAACAGACCTGCACAACCTGGCAGTTGGCGTGATAGGATCTGTAGGTTTGTTCTTAACTTGAAGTTGTTTGTAAGTCGGAACAGATACATTTTAAGTGTAACTCCAGCAGGCAGGCAGACAGACAGACAGATAGATATATAGCATAGGGAAGGGTTAACCCTTTTGCTGTCTGTGCCCCTGCTCAGAAAATTTCACCTCACTTCCTGTCCCTGTGATAATTGGATTTTGAAAAAAAATTGCTTGGGGAAATAAGGATTGGTGAGAATGCTTCAGTGAGGATACCTTTTCCCCATGCCAACTCTTTAAGGCGTGAGTTTCCCTTCTGAGGAATAGATTTCTCACTTCCTGTTGTCTCACTCCTGTTCTTAACTGTGAGTCATTTGTAAGTCAGATGTTTGCAACTTGTGGGCTGCCTGTAAACTAAACCTTTTTGGCTACATACAGGATTTTCCTTGTAACTTTCCAAGTAAAAATATAATTAATGATTAAACTTGGGCTCACAACACACTACATCTTTGGGCTCACAACACACTACATCAAGGACTCAGCCCACTTCATTGAAAAAATCAGCAATCTCAAGCTAAATACAAATGACAAACTGATCAGCTTCGATGTGGTGTCTCTATTTACCATGGTCCCAGTTGCAGACACCATGGCACTCATCAACCAGAGGTTCCCAGAAGACATCACGGCGCTGTTTCACCATTGCCTCACCACCAGCTATTTTCAGTGGGACAATGAATTCTACGAACAGAAAGACGGAGTAGCTATGGGGAGCCCTCTCAGCCGGTCATAGGTAACTTCTACATGGAACACTTTGAAAAACAAGCCTCTGGAAACAGCAACCAAAAAGCCCACTATATGGTTCAGATATGTGGATGACACTTTCACCATTTGGAGCCATGGAGAAGAAGAACTCAACAGGTTCCTGGAACATCTTAACAGCATCCACCCAAACATCCAGTTCACTATGGAAAAAGAAAAGGAAGGAAGACTGCCTTTTCTAGATGTCCTAGTCATCCGTAAACCAGATCAACAATTGGGTCACACCGTTTACAGAAAACCCACACACACAGATAGATATCTACATAAAAACTCCAACCATCACCCAAGTCAAAAAAGAAGCACCATTAAAGCCTTGGCAGACCGTGCAAAAAGAATCTGTGAACCCCATCTCCTCCAAGATGAACTGAACCACCTCAACTGGGCTCTACAGGCCAATGGATATTCCACCTCAGACATCAGAAGAGCTGCAAGACCAAGAACAAGCCACGAGAGTCAAGATGAAGATCCACCCAGAGGAAAAGTGTTCCTGCCATACATCAAGGGAACCACTGACCGCATAGGGAAGCTGATGAGGAAACACAACATACAAACAATCTACAAACCCACCAAGAAAATCCAACAAATGCTACGTTCAGCAAAGGACAAGAGGGATCCTCTCACCTCTGCAGGAGTCTACCGTATACCATGCAGCTGTGGACAAGTCTACATAGGGACCACCAAACGCAGCGCCCAAACAAAAATCCAGGAACATGAAAGGCACTGCAGACTACTTCAACCAGAGAAATCAGCCATAGCAGAGCACCTGATGAACCAACCTGGACACAGCATTTTATTTGAGAACACAGAAATGCTGGACCACTCTCACAACCACCATGTCAGACTACACAGAGAAGCCATTGAAATCCACAAGCATGTGGACAATTTCAACAGAAAGGAGGAAACCATGAAAATGAACAAAATCTGGCTACCAGTATTAAAAAATTCTAAAATTGCAACAGCAAAAACAGCAGAGAGAAAAACAGGCAGGGACATCTAATCACCTTTCAAGAAGAGTTTGCTCCAGGCACAGTCAGCCCATTGTATGCTAATCAAGGTGGTCAGTTGAAAGATTCACACCTAGCCCAACTTACAAAAGCCCTTTGTCTCACCCTGGTCATTCCACAGATATATAAACCCCTTTTTTCCCAGTTCCAGCAGACCTCACCTCTGAGGATGCTTGCCATAGATGCAGGCGAAACGTCAGGAGAAATACCTCTAGAACATGGCCATATAGCCCGAAAAAACCCACAAGAACTGAATGATTAAACTATTTTCAAATAAACCATAGTATTAAAAGGGGACATTTCAATTAATATCACTTAATTGCACTTGTTATTTTAGATTTTTAAATTTATAATGAAATTACTTTAATGTTTAAAAGGTTGTGCTAAATGGTGCAGGTTTTAGTCGATTTTAAGGTTTTCTCTCTATTTACATTTACTTAATGGGATGTGTTACACTTTTTGTCAGCAGTCAGTTTGGAATCATGTTTGAAATCAATTTTTTCACAACAAGTGTTCATTGGTTAGAGTTTATTGTTGTTTGTTTATTTAAAATTCATAATGGAGCACCAGACACTCATGTAACTTGGAGGGCGGCTGTTCAGGGAGGGATGGAGAGAAGCCCTTGCATTGTTTCCACTCATCATATATTAGTTTTTAATGCATAAAGCATCAAGAGTAGCCATTTTACTCATTTATTTCTAACAACAAGCCTTAACCCAGTTCCTGCAGAACACAACTTGAAGGGGACAGACGGCAAAATTTAGTGGATGAGCTTCACACACGTCACAGGCAACTTCAGGCATCTTTCAAAAATGAAGGCACAGAGCCAGATGTTATAAGGTATGATACTGTCTCATAAAAATAGTTCATGGGAAAGTGGCTTTTATCTGAAATACATCTCTAAAGAATATGAACTCTGGCCCCATTCGTGTATAGACTATCTGTAATTTGTACGCATTTATTCATGAATGAGTACTGATGTTCCTCATTGTAGCCATTTATGCCTTTTCCAAGCAACTTAGTTGCCATATACACTAATGTATAAGTTGGGGAAGGTTTTGGGTTTTGACATCACCTGTGGATAAATTGCAGGTCCTTCCATGGAGAGGGGAAAGCACCAAAGCAGCCTCAGGGGGCCAGCTGTCCCCTCACCATTTCTCACCCATGCATTAAAAAAAGCCAGAAATGGTACCACGGAAGAGAGAATAGAGCAGGCACGGGCAAGCTTCAGCCTTCCAGTTGTTTTGAACTTCAACTCCTACAATTCCTAACAGCCGGTAGGTTATTATTAATTGTGGGAGTTGGTCCAAAATACCTGTAGAGCCAAAGCTTGCCCATGCCTGGAATAGAGGGTCGGTGCTGCTTTTAGGTTCTCCTGGGAAAGTCTTAGCTCTTGCCTTTTGCCACCCTACTCAGATAAACGAAAGCTACAATTCTCACACTGACTTGTAAATAAGTCAATCCAGGGTTTTTGGGTTCATCCTTTGACTAAAAATTCTAGAGTTATACATGAGTATATAGCGTAGTTGTGAAATAGTTACAGCTGAGGAGTCTAGTGACTGAGTTGTTCTGGGCCTTAATAATCCAGTCACCCTCAGCTAATTGGCAGTCAGTCTAACGCATTTACAAATATTTGTTGTAACCTAAAGGAACATTTTGTTACAAAATCCTCTCCAAAAGGTCCTTACTTGAGCAGAGCATCCTGGTTTGACAAGGAATGCCTGTTTCTGAGAATGAAGCTGAGGACGGAAATGAGACATTTGAAGGTCGAAATGTTGACCTTGAGACAAGAATATAAGAAACTTATTAAAACAAAACAAAAAAATCATGCAGTCTCAATCTGGTCAGGGCTTGAGTGCTCAGCTAAGAGTCATAACTATCTTTTGGCACACAGTAGCTGGAATTTTGAAGGAAAGGAAATGTGCATTTAATATACCTATTGCCACTGAGAACTGGGAAAATTACTATTCACACTTGTTTGCCTCACTAGAACTCCAGGCAAAGATTTACCAATAGAAGCTCTACCCCTCTGGCCATCAGTAACAGAATATGAGATTATATGTATTATAAACAACTTGAAGACCAGTAAAGCCTCAGGAGAAGATTATCTACCTGCTGAGCTATTTAAAAAGCATCAGGACTGGTGGGCCCCTCTATTAGCAGTCTTATTTACGTACATAAATAACACCTGCCATATCCCAGTTATCAATATCAGACCTTTCAGCTTGTTCAATTGACAAAACTTATTAGGAGTTGTGGACTTCCGATCCATATCCAAATCTTCTAAAAGAACTAGATCCAAAAAGTGTTGCACAACAAATATTGTATGTTGAAGCTCAGAAAGACATTGCTACCCTCAGTAAAACCAGTTCATTGATATGAAGTCGCTTTAAACATACTTTTCAAACAGCCCAATATCTAAACACCTCAGGAGGGTATTTACCAGAAATAGATTTGAACAGCTAGACACAATGGTCAAACATGGAAAGTTTAACCAAGTTTCATATAATGAACATATTAGGCGGTTTACAACAAGTCAGTACACATAACAACAAAATACAAATTAAACATTTAAACAGTATAAAACCACAATAGATGCAATAAAACAATAAAAACCAACGTCATTATCATCAGCATCTCCTAGTTAAATAACATTGTCCAAGTTCCATTATCGAGTGATTCCATTTCCTATGTCAGTTATTCTGCATTTGTAAATGCTTGCTCATATAACCATGTCTTAACTCAAGGGTCCTCAGACTTTTTAAACAGAGGGCCAGGTCACAGTCCCTCAAACTGTTGGAGGGCTGGATTATAATTTGAAAAAAACATGGATTCCTATGCACATATCTTATTTGTAGTGCAAAAAACACTTAAATGCAGTACAATAATTAAAATGAAGAACAGTTTAAACAAATTTAAACTTATTAGTATTTCTTTTTTTTAATTAAATTTTTATTGATTTATCACAATTATTACATACTATTGCATTTTATACATCAACCTCTTTAACATGTTGTTTTGTTATTTTGCTTTGACATTTCCTCCCCTTTTCTCTTTTTTTTTCCTTTCTTTTTTCACCTCAGTGCTCCCCTCCACCCGTCTCAAGCCACATTGCTTACATTTCATCTGTCCAAAATTTCATTTCTTCTTGTGACGGTAATTTTCCTTCCTTATTTTTTAATCCATTTACCACAAATTTCCCCCATACAGCATCAAAATCACTTTGTTTCCATATACCTTTTTTAACCTTTAATATACATGTCAATTTATCATTTATTGCTATTTTCCATGCTTCCTTATACCACTCCTCTATTTGTATATTCATTTCTTTTTTCCAATTCCTTGCTATGAGCAATCTTGCTATTGTTAGTAAGTTTGTTATCGCTTCTTTATCCTCCTTTTTCAATTGCTTATTGTTATATAATGATAGTAAGGCTATACTAGGACTTTTATCTATTTTCATATTCATTATAATTTCTATTTCTCTAAATACTTTCTCCCAAAAATTATTTACATATTTACATTGCCACCACATATGTATATATGTTCCTGGTTCTTGACACCCTCTCCAACAATTTATTGAGTTATTTTTATTCATATATGCTATTCTTACCGGTGTTAAGTACCACTTCCATATTAACTTATAATAATTTTCTTTAACTCGTATCGATAAATTTTTTAAATGTCTTTGTCCCCATAACTGTTGCCACTCTATTTCACTTATTTTTATCCCTAAATCCTCTTCCCAAATCTCCTTAAGGGTATACTTTTTTATTTTTCCATCCCTCATTTCAATTAGTATCTTATAGATTTTGCTAATTATACCTCTCAAGTTTTCATGTTCTTCTACTGCCCTTCCCTTCTGTATTATTTGTTCGAATTGATTGAGTTGGCTTCCATTTCTGTTATTTTTTTTCCAATTTATTAACCATTGTTCTAATTGTATACAATGAAACCATGATAATTTTATTTCTTTAAACTCTTCCAACATCCTTTCCCTCTTCATTTCCACTTTCATCCAATCCCCTATTCTATCTAAATTTATTTCCCTTACCTTTTTATCCATTGCTTTTTAAAAAAATTTTGGGAATTTCTTTTCCATCACTATTGGGGTTATAATTGATCCTTCCTTTATTAACCTCCCCTTGTATTTATTCCATACTTTCAGAACGTTACTCAACATTGGGTTTCTAATTTCCCTCAGTTCTTTTCTGGTAAGCTGTTTAAAAACTATATTCCAAGTTTCATCTTCCACTTTTCCTGAATCATTACTAAGCCAATCTATTCCCTTTTTTTTAACCATTCCTTCTATAACCAAATTTAATCTACTTGCATCATAATATTTTTTAATATTAGGTAATGCTAGTCCACCCTCCTTTTGCGATCTATACCATATTTGTTTATTTAGCCTGTTTCTTTTACTTCCATTGCAGTACTTGTTAATCATTTGTTGCCATCTACTTAGTTCTTCTTCTGTGATTTGAAGTGGTAACATTCTAAATATAAAATTTATTTTTGGAAGTATTTTCATTTTTACTAATGCTATTCTTCCAAACCAGGATAAATGTATACCTTCGTACTCTATTAACTTTTTCTGAACTTCTTTTCTTAAAGTTACTACATTTACTTCCTCTATCTCTTTTAAATCCTTAGTTATTATTACTCCCAAATATTTTAATTTATTCTTAATTCTTATTCCCATTTTTCTCTGTTCTATAATTTTTTTTCTTCTTCTCTTGTATAGTTGAGTAGCATCATTTCTGACTTGTTCCAATTAACTTGTAAACCCGTTGCTTTCCCAAATGTCTCCAAATGTTCTTTTATTCTATCTATTCTCTCCACTATATTTTCTATAAATAACAATGTATCGTCAGCGAATAAGCTCACCTTCTGTTTCTCCTTTTTTCCTAATCCTTCTAAATTTTTATCGTTCCTTATATTATTAGCAAAAAGTTCTATCACCATAGCAAATAATATCGGGGACAAAGGGCACCCTTGTCTAGTTCCTCTAGTCACTTTTATTTCGTTTGTCACTCCATCATTTATAGTTATCACTGCTGAATTCTTTGAATAAAATTGTTTTAGTACTCCTTTTATTTTATTTCCCATTCCAAATTTATTCAATATTTCCCCTAGTGTCTCCCATTCCACACAATCGAACGCTTTAAAAATATCTAATGATAGTATCCCTGCTTTTCCCTTCCCCTCTTTGGCCCAATGAATTTTATTTAGTACTCTCCCTATCAAATTTGACATTTGTCTTCCTTTTATAAACCCACACTGATCTTCTTTTATATACTTATACATACATTTATTCATTCTATTAGCTAATATCGCGGACAATATCTTTGCGTCCTGATTTATTAATGATATGGGCCTGTATGACCCTGGGTCTGTTAAGTCTTTATCAGGTTTGGGTATTAATATTATTAATGATCTCCTCCATGAATCGGGTATTTTATCTCCCTTCATTATTCCATTATACAATTCCAATAATTTTGGGGTTAAAACTTCTCTAAAGCTTTTATAATATTCCGTCCCTAGACCATCCAAGCCTGGGGCTTTTCCTACTTTTAATTTGTTAATGACTTCCTCTATTTCTTTTTTCTTAATAGGTTGTTCCAGTAACTCTTTATCTTTCTCCTCCAGCTTACTCTCCCAATTTTCTTCCACATATTTCCTAATTGCCTCTATGGGACTTGCTTTAGTTTGATATAGGTTTTTATAAAATTCCTTTATAAAATTCCTCAAATACTTTCAATTTTTCTTTCATAGCTCTACATAATTTACCTGTTTTATCTTTTATCATGTTTATCGTTCCTTCCATTTTCTTTTTCTGT